CCCAATTTGGAGTCACTCAAGACGTCCTTGATTAAGGCAGCCACCGATATTGACATGGACCTCGTTCGTGCTGCGATAGATGACTGGCCACGCAGATTGAAGGGCTGTATTCAAAATCACGGAGGTCATTTTGAACAAACTTTAGTGTCATAAGAATCTATGTTCTGTTAAGTTCATTTTGGTATATGAATGGTTACATAATGAATAAACTTGTTTCAATTATTTTACATTAAACATGTGATAGAATTTATGACCTGACTAAGTATTATAGATGGTCTTCATTATGATTATCGAAATGTTCCTAAGGTTCAGAACCCAGCGATATTGCATGCCTTTCATTACGTCGTCAGTCCGTAGACCTTATCCATGCCGCGCCTTCTAATGTGCTCCCTGCACGTAGAAGGTGATGATATTTTATGACGCGAATGTTGATTTTGAATGATAAGTAGTAAAAAGTGTCAAATTCTGACACACATGTCAGAACGAAATTGTTTGGAGAGAAAAGAAATACAATATCTGTTTCAAATAGATGGCTTAGCACAACAAGAACTCTGAACTGAACTCTTTGAAAAGTTCTAACGAAAATTTGGACGGCCCAATTTTTTTTATATTACTTTCCTTAAAAAATTTCCTCCTCTGTTCCGGAAAACTAGAAAGAATAAGTAGACTACGGCCCCTGATATTATCAAACGGGAAATCGAAAAAAATTAACGTAGGTGACATTTCTAAACGCCCTACCGATAAACAATCCACGTCCGAACCTCGGTTGAGATAGAATTCACCCGAGAGAGGATGGGGGTAAGCCTGTAAGGTACGCGTTTCGGGTAAGGTGCATTTTCCCTCGGCATTCCGCCTGCACTGGACGCCACAGATGATAATAATACGAGTATAACAATGGGGTCACGTTTATGTGCTGGCTGCCACGGGGCATTGGGTAACGGAACCTTGACCATGCCATTATGTACACCATTAAGTCGACTACGTGATTCGTTCAATGTTATATGCACTGTGTTAAGTCACAGCCATATTTCTTGTAAGTCAGTAGTAGATTAGTAATACGTATTGTTTTTTTTTATCGACTGTCGGCGGTCCTCTGTCGGTGGGCTGTCCAAGTCTACTGGAACGATATCGTATGAAATTATGCTGGTGATAATGAAGAGAATGTATTGTCTCTCTTTTTTTTACGGATTTGAAAACTCGGACCGCGTACTCTGGCGGGCTTATAATTACGGAAGGTTGATATCTTTTGTGGATTAAATTTTCAAGATATTATTTTTTCATTATGGAAGTCGTTCGTGAATACGCGTTACGTATCTCTACGTCTATAAAAAATTTAAAAAAATTGTAACGTTATGTAGGATTTGAATACAGGCACTGTCGCAACGATAAATGCAAGGAAACTGGGCATCTTATCTTTTAGGCCACGACGGCTGCATCGACTTCATATTGATCAAATCAATTTTACAAGTGAAATGAGAACAATGCTTGTTAGCAACGGACAACATCATATATCGTCGTTAGTTTAAGGTGTCGTAAGAATTGATCACAAGTGCCCATGATTAATAAAGTACTCAAACAGATAAATATCCAATCTGCTCGCATGGAGTTATTAGAACATCTTAATTTTTTTTGTTTTCAAATCACGCGCAAATAGAATTATGCAAAAATCACATTGAAGAACCTCAAATGTGAAATACGAATGTTAAAGGTCCAGGCTTCCTGCTCCGATACGAAGATGCAATTGAGCTCTCGCGTAATTATTGGGAGTTCTCAGACATTTAATGTAGTATACTGTAGATTTGCAGATGCTAGGAGTTACAAATAATCATTTATGTAATGGATTTGTTGTTGAACCTTTTTGATAATAGGAGTATAATGTATAGCGGCCCGCTCCGGCTCCGCTCGGGTCTTTAAGCATAATTTCAACGATATTTGACGTTGTTTTATTTTTTTAAATAAAAGAACACTTATTGCGGCATAACTATGTATTCTACAAAGTCGTATTACATTATTTTATTCTATCATTAATAGTTTTCGCAGAGCACGAGATGTAAAGAATATTTTAGGTAATTATTTTACAACTTGGGTTACATTATTGGGGTTTTAGTGAGGATCCCTAATTTTTTCAAAAAATATTATAGCCTATGTCACTCGGGAATAGTGTAGCTTCCAAGCAGTGAAAGAATTTTTCAAATCGGTTCTGTAGTTTCGGAGCCTATTCAATACAAACAAACAAACAAATCTTTCCTCTTTATAATATCAATTATAATATTAATAATAATAATAAATAATAATATAGAAGTATAGATTAGTGATTTGTTTGGAAATTGCGATGAAAACATATTTTATGATATTTTGGCGTAGTTCGACAACAAAATGTTTCTAACATCTATTTTACCTTTTTTCACGTCGTCCGTCTCATGACCACGAAATGTGTAAAGTAAACTCGAAACGTCCAAAAACATGTAAAAAACGAGAGAAAAACTGGAAAAGTAGCTTTAATCATGTCTACGATTCCTGAAATCCGTAAAACGTAACAATTGTTACGAACGGGTCACTTTTGTTTTTATTTCAAACAAAATTTTCCAAATCAATATACATCTCTGTATGTTATTTAAACTTAAATAAGTAGTATCAAAATCAGATTTGTCAAGATGTCATACGTCTATAGCCAATGTTTCTTCAATGGACATGTATTGCACACACAAAAAAATTGCATCCAAACAAAATAAAATTACATTTCTGAAAACTGAAACTTTCACGATACTCCCATCCGAGCTACGAGCATTACCTTACTTAAGTAATTAATTCGGAAAATCTTGCGTAATCCATCACAAGACTAATTAGACAATCTAACAATTACAATGTTTTACAATTAATCGTAATTGGGCGTTATATGTAGTACAGGTTTCTCTTGCCAAGGCTGCGTGAATACGATTTCACTTCATTTTTAAGATCGGATGTTTTGTTGATATTATGATAAAATTACATGATATAATCGCATTATAATTTGATTTATTTAATTTAAGAAAAACACACACACATAGAATACCTCGGTTTGTTCGTGTATCTAAAATAACTATACTGAGACCTTAGAACTTATATCTCAAGGTAGGTGGCGCATTTACGTTGTAGATGTCCATGGGCTCCAGTATCCACTTAACAACCAGATGGGCTGTGAGCTCATCCACCCAACTAAGCAATAAAAAATAAATAAAAAGATATCAAATATAGGAGCTTATTACTGCCGCAAAACAGTATTGCATTCCTGATTGAAGGGTGGGGCAGTTTTGTCTCACGATGAGTGGCGGCATTTACGTTGATAATGAGTCTGTGAGTCATTCAGCCTGGGAACTAAAATAAAATATGCATGTTATCTTCACATTTTGCATTGTCACTTTATTGAACGACAGTAAAAGCTTAGAAAACATCTGTGAGCCTCCTCTATACTATGGATATGACTCGTGACAGTATTGAATGAAAGGTCCCCGAGTGTGTTGACTTATGACCCGCTGGTGAGTGGATGAGCTCATGCGTCATCGTTTCATTAACAAATCAACTAATCTTGTTAGTTATACCGCGAAAATGCTTGTTATTAAGAAGATATTGCAGAATTTGTTTGAAGGTAGACCAGACTCTTATATAATGTATATAGTGTTTTAGTATTTATGAATTGGGTTCACAAACCGTGATGCGCTGTGTTTCTAGATTTTACGATGTTTGCTTTGATCAATTTTGTAGTTTTATTTATTAGTACGGGAGGAAAATGCTAGTCGAAAACCAGCACTGTTGTTTTTAGCATTCTATAAATTTTATCTTATCGATAAATTTTATTATAACACGAGGAACACAAAATAAAACTAAATTTAAATCTGCAAGATATAAAACAATCGATCTTATTTTTTTACGCTATAAAGTCAATTTTACATTACATTAGCACTTGTTGTAATGCTGCTAAAAAAAATACAAAGGCCATCGCGGCAATTTCAACGAAATGCGACTATTTTCCGGTGAGAATTCGTTGTCAATCAATCACTAATATATTAAAATAACTTAAAGAATTATTTTTGGGTATCACGGGATCTAGTGATGCTTGTACTTTTAATTGTGTATGAGAAACTTTGTTTAACTATGCGAAATAATACAAAGCAGTAAGCTGTATTAACACTAAATCCGATCTCTGAAAGATGAGTTTAGGTTGAGTATTATAATTCAAGATGTATGTATGTAGGCTCTTTTTATTGCCATTGTAGGCAGACAGTCGCTCAGGGACATCAGCAGTGACAGATACACGGCCAAACCCGCTGCCTACTGCTGAGAATTCCCTTTAGAAACTCCTCTTATTGGTCTTTTATTTTCATTCGACACTCTTCCGCTGTGTTGTCCTTTTGGCTATCTCAAAACGTTATTATGAGCAGGAATCACACAAAAGATCGATCGGGTCCTAGTGTCAAACAATAATAAGCCCTGCTTCTAAGATACATAGGAAGCTGTACAATAGTGTGAACCATATATGATACAGAAGGAACGATTGTCTTTAAAGGCAAAACCTCCATGTTTTTATCTTTTATCAAGCTAATCTATTTTACGAATGATGCGCTGTGACAAGTTATCAGCAAATGACGCATAATAACGGTACGAAGATATTATTGTCTTTCGGAACCAGTGAATTAATGAAAAACAGGATGTTTGCTTAAATGAAATTGGAAAGTCATAAGAGTATGCCGGATATATAATGTATTCGAATTGTATCCGGTGCATTGTTAACTGCGCTATTTAGATGCTTGTGCGCTGGTCTGTCCATACTGACGCTGCTTTAACGTCAAAGATCAAGGCTTGCTATGTATAATACAGATGATGATCTTTTATAAAGTTAACTTATTTTAATGAAAATTATAAGATTTCCTTTTTTTGGGTTGTAGATAAATTAAAAGTCGTCCATGTGGATTCAGTAATGGAGTAGAATGAGATAATGATACAAAAATTATGATTCCTTTCAGGTCTTGAACATAATAATCTTAGTTCTCTACCGCACCGGTTACAATGGAGAGTTCCTGGGGGTCGGAGGAACTTGGAACCTGAACGAGGAGAAGAATCCTGACGCGGAGATCGTTGCCTCAGGAGTAATCGTGGGCTACCTCATTTATACGCTAGTGCAGATCGTCACATTCTTGTTTGGCACCACGGAGCACAAACGGTAACCCATATTTTAGGAGATATTTTTTTGACCCGTCAGACTTCGTAGTGCCTCAATCGATAAATAAAAGACTTAAACTTTTGTATAAAATAAACCTAAAACAAAAAAAAGCAATCCGTCCGACGGGGGACACTTCAAAGGAAAAACAAAATTGATATTTTTATTTATTTCCGAACATTTTCATATTTACCTACCTTTTAAACCTTTTCTGAACTTCCACAAATAAATCAAGACCAAAATTAGCCAAATCTGTCCAGCCGTTCTCGAGTTTTAGCAAGATTAACGAATAGAAATTCATTTTTGATAGAAGATAGATTATTGCTCTTTTCATCTAAATGTTTCGTGTCTTAATTTGAACAAGTGTTTGCAACTTCGCATTGCTATTGAAGTAAATTCCGTTTTAGAGATTACAGTTAACATTTATCATATGAATATTTATTATTACTAGTGGTCCCTCAGTAGTCGAAATTCGACTATAATTAATTGAAATTCTAAGTTTGAACATTATTATGGTTCTATTGTCAAAGGCTATTTATTAAACTTCTGTAATCACAGATTTCGTCAAGACTACACTATAGACAAACAATATTAATCCATAATTAATTTGACCACAACTTTAACGATAAACAAAAGAGTGTGGGCGTGTCAAATATATGATAGCATGTGTAACGTTTTTTTATTGATTTAATGTATTTTTTATGGATAATTTAAAAAAAAAATTAGCATTCTGCACTTCTTCTCTATATTGTCTATAAGTGTGGGAAATTTCATTCTCTTCCGTCCGCGCAATTTTCGTAAAAAGGGATACAAAGTTTTTGCTTCACGTATTAATAATAGATTAGGGATTTGTCTTGAATGAATGCCTTTGTGATTCCCCAGCGCTTTGTCTGAGATTGTGATGAACTTCGTCGGAGTGTTCCTATGGATTGCGGTGGGCGCTGTGGCATTACACTACTGGGGAGGATACCAGGGCGAGCACCAGTTCCAGTTTGTCTTCGCTGAGAAACAGGTTTGGGTTAAAAAAAATTTTTGTTGCGTAGATGAGTGGACGAGCTCACAGCCCACCTGGTGTTAAGTGGTTACTGGAACCTATAGACATCTACAACGTAAATGCCGACACCAACCTTGAAATATGAGTTCTAAGGTCTCAGTATACTTACAACGGCTGCCGCACCCTTCAAATCGAAACGCATTACTGCTTCACGGCAGAAATAATTGTCGCGAGCACAAGGCTGGAAGTCGGGAACTTCTCAGTGGGTCATGATTTCGATCCGGTGGTAGACTCGGGGAAGCTATGCTCCTGCTAAGGCTAGTGTTAGCAAAGTCTCTCAGGCTGAGCCCCGTGAGCTCGACTATACACCCCATAAAATAAGAATAGTCCCTCGAAGCTACTGGTAATTGCGTAGATAAAAAGTCTCAAAGTGGGATCGCACTGCATCATCTTTATTTAGAAATTATACGGGCCCAATATAAGTCATTAGTCATGTGTTAATTTCAAAATAAGGTTTTTTTATCCGTTTATTTGGAACCAGTGTGTTAGTTAATACATATCATAATAGTACTTAAGGTTTTTATGTTGCTAGTGAGTTTATAAATTCGAAAATGGAATTACGAATACTTTAATATGAGTTAGTATGATATGATAGCAGAGGGGGGTGAGGTCCACCGAAGAAAACATATATGGAGTGTGTGAATGACGATATATGAGATAGAGAGAAGTGAGTGTTGAGATGTCGGCTGATAGAAGGGAATGGAGTAGAAAAATTCGCTGTGTCGACCCCACCTAGTGAGATAAGGTGGAGAAAAAGAAGAGAATAGTTTAATATGAATCGATTTGAAATTCATTTGTTTTTGGTGACACAGTTTACACCTCTTTGCAAGTAGCTCGTTCAATGACAAAGTTAAAACCAGATAGTAGTGAGTTCGAGGTCTCTATAGAATTACTGCTTCAGTTGTCTAAGCTGATTGTAATGTACAAGTAATTTTTAGAATTATTGCTTCAGTTGTTTAAGCTGATTGTAATGTACAAGTAATTTTTAGAATTACTGCTTCAGTTGTTTAAGCTGATTGTAATGTACAAGTAATTTTTAGAATCACTGCTTCAGTTGTTTAAGCTGATTGTAATGTACAAGTATTTTTTAGAATTACTGCTTCAGTTGTTTAAGCTGATTGTAATGTACAAGTATTTTTTAGAATTACTGCATCAGTTGTTTAAGCTGATTGTAATGTACAAGTAATTTTTAGAATTACTGCTTCAGTTGTTTAAGCTGATTGTAATGTACAAGTATTTTTTAGAATTACTGCTTCAGTTGTTTAAGCTGATTGTAATGTACAAGTATTTTTTAGAATTACTGCTTCAGTTGTTTAAGCTGATCGTAATGTACAAGTAATTTTATGATAGAAATCGTTTTGATGTTACTCGCGAGTAAAGTACATAATATATTTGCAGTATATTTATTTGTTAAACTAACTTTGCTGTTTCTTTATTTATTTTTGTTTCGTTTACAGGTTGGCCTGGCCGTTGGAGCTCTATGCGTCATAAATGGAGCCATATATTTATTGGACACGGCACTTTCTGTCATACATTTCACAAAGGAAATGTAATTTTGTTATTTTTTTTTTTAATAAATAATATAGCGAAAATGCCATTATTTACTTAAGTTACGATTAATGTTTCTTTATCGACTAAAATAGTTTTAACGAACGAATTAAGTAGAATTTAATGACGACAAAGGACGGAGAAGAGAGAAGCTGTTAGAAGAAGTTCCCAAGATTTTTATTCGGAAAAATGTACGAGCAGGTTAATTTTAGCTCTAGGAGTTTCGAATAGGGATAAAAATCGGGAATATTGTCTGTTCAAGGGCGGATCCAGTTTTGGCGCCAGGAGGGGGTCACATAGTCAAATTTTCGATGCGTTCATTCCGCCATCATACAAAGTTATTATATTATATTAAATTAATTAAATATTGAAGGTATGTAGTTACATAAAATCTGTATGGTGACAAAATATATAAATAAAATCATTATGTTCAATTAGTGGTTCACCTAAGTCTTGGAAGCAGCTCAGGGGGGGGGGTCATGACCCCCATGACCCTCCCCCTGGATCCGCCTTTGTGTCTGTTCGTCATCACACCTTCAGGTCTTCGAGCGAAACCACTGTAACAACACCCATGAAAAGAATGTATGTATAATATGTTAATTAATTTACAAAACGTTTTGTATACTTTACGATTATCGACTTTTCCTGATCACGCAGAAGATTACCTGGACATAAAAAAATCTAACTGTCGATAATTGTAAAATGCAAGATTGAAAAATTTTCAAGTATTTTGAAAATATACATTCTTTTTACCATTTACTATTTTCGAAAATGATATATTATTATATTATAATACATTTTAGATTACGTATAAGTAAGTAAGTTGATCTATAGATCATTTCCGTTTGCCATTATTATTCTCACCATAGACAAAGCATCATTTTTTTATGCTCTCATGAAAAACATTGACTTTTTTCTGTATCTTCCCACCTTTTGTAATGTATTCACTGACTTTATTTATGTTTTTAACGAAACCAGTTTTTTTTTGTAATTTAAAATTTTATTAAATAAAAAATATTGTAATAAGAATTGTTTTTTTTTGTAAATACATACATATGTCCTCTTTTCGTTAGAGACGTTTTGTTTTAACTGTTTTTGGTTTGCTAGAAGGCAACTGCAATCTACCTTTTTACTCTATGAATGTGTATTTTGTTATTTAAATGATAATATAATATATTATATAGAAGATAAACTGGATTTTTTTCTTCTTAAAGTTAAATGCAAAACAGAAAGAAATGTGTTCAGAAGAATTTAGATAATGTTTGCAATGCCAGGAATTTAATCCGTAATGGATAGTCGATGACTACTTTTTTCTTGAGAGCAATGGAATTTGGAGTTGGAATTTCGTCATATTGTGTCAATATAATCGTTTAAGATGTCAACAATAATGCCGTAAAAAGACGTAAATTCTTTATGTTCCAATCTCTGTTTTTGTATAAAATGCTTTTCTCTGTTTTTGTATAAAATGCTATTTTTGCCAAACTTTGCTTCTCGTGAATTATGAGACTATAGTAGCTTTTTTTGGGTTACAAAACAAAAAGAAAATTAGGACACGCGATTAATAACAGTGTCAAACCATATTGACCTTAAGACAGGTCGGGGGTTAAGTGATGTGTGCCGTGCTCCCGGAGACTGGCTCACTTGTATCAGTTGTAGATGCACCGTTTCCTTGTCAAATAGTGTTGTTCTTTTACTATTTAACCATAAAAAAAAAAACTGGCTACTTTATTGCCTATCGAAGAAACATAATAACCGATTTCAATTAGATGTCATAACAAAAAAAAAATTGATTTTTTTAAATTTGACATTCGAATTTTTTTTTAAATTCGAATTTGACATAAAGACGTCAAACTGGGTGTTCACGTAGATAACTGTACGGAAACTAAGAAGACACAAAACGTGGAGCTTCTATACGAGAATCTTGTGACCATATCGCCTAGTCTGAAGGAATTTCTCAGCGAGGTGGACTTCGAAACTGACAAAATTGCTCCATTAACGGATAACGTGAGTAACTAATTACATATAATCGTTATCATTTGTAACTGATCATGGGAGAGCCGAAGAATGGAATCTAAAGTGGTCGGAGGAAATGAAATTAAGACAATATAAACATTAGACGTTTAAGAATTTTTCGAGAATATGTGGAGTTAATTATTAGTAGATGAGTTAGGTAATTAATTTATGAGTTTATTTTATCGTTATTAATGACTTCTTATATTTTTTAATATTTAAGAAGAAACATTTTAAACTCTCATAAACTCAACAAGATAATTTGGTTCAGAGAATTAGCCTAGTTTTTCGGCACAGATATGAAAACTAAATGACATGCTAAGCTTGAGAATATTTTACCCGAAATCATAGAAATGAAAATTATTATTGTTTCTATTTTTTTAATAATTATTTACACTTATTATTATGCTCTTTTAAAATTGAATTTATGACAATAAAACAAACGAAAGACGGAATTGTTAAGAAAGTGATCATTTCAAAGTGAGGCATAATAAAATGATTTTCTATAGCCACCAGAAAATTATAGTTTGCGTAATTACTGGTGGTAGGACCTCTTGTAAGTCCGCACGGGTAGGTACCACCACCCTGCCTATTTCTACGGTGAAGCAGTAATGCGTTTCGGTTTGAAAGGTGGGGCAGCCGTTGTAGCCGAGCCGTTGTTGAGACCTTAGAACTTATATTTCAAGGTGGGTGGCGCATTTACGTTGTAGATATCTATGGGCTCCAGTAACCACTTAACACCAGGTGGGCTGTTAGCTCGTTCACCCATCTAAGCAATAAAAAAATAAACAGTTAAAAAAACTGTGATGCGACATAAGCCATAAAAAACGACCGTGATAGCTCTGAGATGGTGACCCGCTTTTTGTTATTAGATTAAAGCCTTTAATCTATGGGATAACCGTACTATAATGTGTGTGACATTTGCATATGTAGGGTTGCCACCTATCCGGATGTGGCCTGTTTTTTACTGGATTACGGGAGCTTATGATAGACTTTTAATAGGTTACGGCAACACACGAACAAGCCACACACTAAGTTTTGAGCTTTTGAGTTTCCATATATTACATTGATTGATTAATTGTAATTTGACGGTAGTTTGAAAATTTTTGGTTTACGTTTTCAATAATCATGTTTAATGTATATTTTAATAAACATGTTTTTATTGTTATACAAAGCATCTCATTACCTTTTTCTTCCTGTTTGTTATTGAGTGATATCACTTGAGTGGTATTATAATATTGGGTAGTTTCTAAGAAAGAAATGGACATGCTATTAAATAAAAATATTTAGAAGACAAAATATCAGGTATATTTTTTTTATATTTCCTGGTAACACTGTCTGTAGCAGTACCAATTCAATGAGTACTCATTAACATTGAAAACGACCTCTCTATTACAATTATGTTACACGATGGTAATGAACATGTCTCAAAGTACACTTGAGGGCGTTGAGATTAGATGGCCTTTTTCATCTAATTCGGATTCATTATCTTTTTCAAAAGATTTAGTACTACATGTCCTGTAGAGTGATCTCTATTCGAATATATTAGGATTAGTAATTCAGGATAAATAAAACATATTGCCTTTTTCCGGAATAAAGAAATGTTCGTATCACTCTCTGGCCCGTAAAATAAGAATCGATTTGTAAATCATTACGTATAATGACAAATCAATGAACTGAAACTAAACTTTTGTGTTTTTGTGAAAACACAAAAGTTTAGTTTTGCTTTAATTAGCTTGTGTTTTCACATAGCTACACACAACTTCAGATATACCTGACATTATCTTGATTATCATTTACATTATTTAGGTTATAGACTATATTTGTGCCACGTTTTATCTAAATACGTACAGCCATTTTAGCGTGATTGAGTAATTTACAAACATGTTTACTAACATAATATTTCAAGATACGAGTTCGGAGCATTCTTAATGGACCGTTGGTCTGTCGAGTAATTTCAATCTCTAGATGGAAGACAAGGCAAAGGAAAGATGTCTTATACCGCCAATAACATTAAAATATATTGAATTCGTTTATCCTTTGTCTATTTTTACTCTTGTCTTTGAAAGGGTTTGTTCGTTCGCATGAAAAACGTTTTATTTAAAATAATATTAGATGTTTATACGGTGAGTGTATTACGAGTATATTATCCCGTTTAACAAGTACAAAGAACTAGGACAATGTCTTACTATGTATAACTTAAATGTAGGTCAGACTAACAACCTTTGTGAATTCACCCCGCGAACGTCGAGGGCGCCGCCGGTCGTAAGAAGTTTGGCGCCAAAACAGGCGACAGCATGGCGGCTTTGCAACCGAGATTGGCAGGATTGTGTACTCATAATACTTATATTAAAATTTATTGAATTTAAAATACAATAGTTATATATGTTTCTTTTTACGTCGTAAACAATTTACTATGCGCATCGTTATTGAAAATTGTAGTCATTTCAGGTTTTCATGTCGACCGAGGAAAGCAGATTTGTCGTAACTTGAAAAACCCAACTTTACACTAGAGCCTTATTTAAATAATATAATATGGTATAAAATCGTTTAGCCCAAAATACAAGCTACGACAATTTCCGCGATCTCCTGTCGATATTTTGGTTTTTCGCGCCGGATTTTCCCGCCGTTTTATAGAAATTTATATACCATCATCATTTCACCATTCGCTTAGTGTTTTGACACCTATTAACAAACTTTTAAGAACGCTTTTAGCAAAAGACAAAGCATGGGTTCAACCTCCCGTTGAATACTGCTTGCTCTATTTATTATATTTCACTGTCCGTCTGCCTAATATGAAAATGAAAAAAAAACCAGTTATATGAACAATATCAGCGTTAGTATGTTTTATTGTATTTTCTTAAATATACGTATATTTCTTATATTTCTTAAATATATCTTATTTATTTATAGGTTTTGTCTACAATTTTGAACGTACTAAGCATAGTACTAGCACCTTATTTTAGATTTTCCTTCCTCAAGTTTGCCTACGTTATTCCAGTTAACTGTGCAAAATTTTATAATTTAGAAATGTCAATATTGAATTTCGCGAATATTTTTCAATAATGCCAACCTGACCGGTCACGACTCGCTTGGAACAATGGGGCATATCGACTGACGACGTACAAACATATTTTGTACTCACTTTAACATCCACACTCATGTTTTATTGACGTTAAAACGCACGTATGCGACGTCAGGTTTGCCAGACGTAATTTACTTTTCGAATTAAATAACAAATTCTCTATTAATTTAATTTAAGAATTATTTCGAATAAGCCTGTCGGATCGATAGAAAACCGGTTCGACAGATTGAACTCAGTATAAATTGAGTTGTCCTGGTTTGTCTGCAGGCAACCTCTTGGCATTTCTGATGGCCATAGGCGATGGTGACACTGGGCAGATGGGTTGTAACTATGCTCGTCCGTTTCCTATGGAATTAAAAAAAAAAACTCCCTTGCTGAGTTCAGAAAAACATCAATCGTGTTCCTATCGTGGAAGATCTTCCACCGAACGGGTGATATTGCTCATTAGACCGACGAACTTGTATATAAGCAAGCTTATCTTGAAAATGTCGTAAGCGAGATTCAGGCATCTGTCAAATATCTTGTGTTGTATGATGGCTAATCGCCACACTATACGCAGTTTGTCGTTATGGATATATAAGTCGTCGTCGCGATCTAAAGGATGAGACGCCCGTTTTTAACTATTTATATCGGGCGATGTGGTTATGCTTGCGTTAAATACACAGTCAGGTACCAGTTTTTCTAAGCAGATCTAACACGCATTTATCAACGCCTTTTTTCTTAATTTCCTTCATAGATTATTATTCATAGGGCTCACCGATCGGTTAGTGGTAATTGTAGCTCATGGATGTCAGTTATGCCAAGATCCGAGTCATGCCATTGCCTACCGCAGAACGTCTTTCACGATGAGTAAAAGTATCGTGTAATAAAAATGAAAATGGAAATTTATTTAGTGCAATTATCAAAGTAGTAGGGTTTATTCTAAAACAGAGAAATATTTTAATCGAAATTCCGTGTTCACGCATCGAATACGTGAAACTAATATGTCATCAGTGAAAACTCATTTATGTTGATTGAAAAACTTTTTGGATTTTGTTTATTAACACTTTATAAAAAAATAATCAGAAAACAGTAACTTATGTAATGACAAGTTCTTTAGCTTTGCAACACTTAAACGAGACGCATTTTTATTTCTGATAAAAAGTTGGTAACTCCTACGCGTCAGTCCGTCATAATATAATATTATTTTGACTTATTGAAATGTAAAGCGATACTGTAACTCGAGATTTCATGAAATGCATGTAAAAATGTTAACTATGACTCACTGTAGGAATCACGAACAAAAATCTAGCTTTATCTTGATATATTATAGATTGTTTCTTGCAAACTGGCAATACAATTATCAGAAACGTGAATGATTATTTAAAACGAAAAAAAAAACTTTATTGTGAAGTTTCTTTTTTAAAATTTTTATTCCAATTTCAACTGCTTTTAATTGCTGGCTGTTTATAAAAGAGTTATCGCCTGTGCCCCGAACAACACGTGCGGCACTTTAAAATGTTGCCAATCTTGAAAGCTGTTGAGCATTCGGGAAATATGTATTAAAAAAAAAAGACCGCTTCCACAAATGTATTGAAATAGAAGACGTAAAATTTCTAAAAGTACCAGGTTTTACAAGGGGCTTCGCTAGTGTTTATACAAAAAACAATTTTGTTAGTTTGTTCTGAATGAAAGTTACTTCAAGTATCCTTCTCTGTACACCCGAAAACGTGTATGTGAAATTCCATGATGATCAGCTGTCGTTATATTTTTCCTACCTATGCTGATAGCCTTGAGAGGCTATGTCAGTTTCCCCAGGCGTGTGTAGGTGAGCTCACGGGGCTCAAACCGGAGAGTTGCCAACGCTGACCCTAGCAAGAGCAGTGCTTCGCAGAATCTACCACCGGATCGGAAACGCGACCCACTAAGA